AAAGGGAGGGGGGGGAGGGGGGGAGCGGAGCTGGCCAGGCTCACAGGACAAAGTGAAGAGTCTCCAAAAACACCCCGCTGCAAAACACTATAGAACGGACATGGCAAACTGGGGTTTTCAGATGGAGTGCCCAGGGCCAGTGTAATATAAAAATGAGGCCACCCATCCCCCCCAACTTTTCTGTAGACCATTAATGTACTTTTGTCTGCACATTTTTGCAGTTGAGCAATACAAGCATTCGAGTGTGGTTGTCCATAGACCAGAATATCCGATTGTTGCACGATTGGTTCTGTACACATATCGTAAGGAACACCTGCAGCATAATTTTTCCTGGACATGCAAGTTTATGAGCCGAACAGGTTTAATGAGATAGTGTCGAGACTGTGCTTGGCGGCAGCCCAGTTTGCTGGAGTTCCTCCAAGCCTCCTCAAAACTGATCACCGGCCCCTCGCCTTGACCCACTCGGTTGCGGGGATTCGCACTTCCCATATCGGTTATACGTCACAACTGCCGCCACTGATGGACCTCCACCCCCTTCTCCTGAGCCAATCAGTGGCGGCAGTTGACGTATAACTTCGATACGGAAAATGAGCCCCCCACAACTGTGTCAAGGTGAGGGGGGCGGCGCTCAGTTATAAGCGGGCTTGGACGCACTCCGGTGCACCAGGCCCAATCCCATCTCTATAATCAGGCAAGATTAGTCATAAGTAAGAATCTTTTGAACATGAATTCGTTCCAAGATCAGTCACCCCGGGTGTGTCCACAGATGTTGGGGTTGGGACAGAAAGATGCATCTTACAGTCATTGGCCATGCCAATCGCTCTCACATCTATGGTCGGACATGTGCGATTCGTTTTGTTCTGAATCAGGACGAATCTTCTGAAATTCCGACATTCGGACACATCTGAATTTCTGAACCCCAATGCATCAGAACGTATCCAAATCCGAATTTCCGTTTCCACATTTCAGATCTCGTCTGAATTTTCTTCAAAATACAAAACTGAATCGGACATGTGACTTTTCTGGCCAATCAGATGTGGTTTTCGGTTTAATGCATCCGAATGGGTCTGAAGACGAATTTTCATTACGGCAACATGGGAGCCATATACATATAATACGAAAGCTGAGGTGCCTAGACCCGAATGGCATTTGGGATCCGAATTTCCGAATTGCATTTGGCAGCTCCCGAATCCCATTCGGGCCTGGGAGCCTCAGCTTTAGTAATACATGTATATGGCTCCCAGACCCGATTGGCATTCAGGAGCTCCCGACTGCAATTCGGAAATTCGGATCCCGAATGCCATTCGGTCTGGGAGCCTCAGCTTTAGTATTAATATTTGTATATGGTTTGCTGTGGTATTCGCAAAAAATATTCGTAAACGCATTCGAAACTAACGAAAATCTGGATTTAGTCAGAATACGAAACCCGAACCCAATTGAATTTCAGATCCGAATGCTGAATAAAATATCCAAACCGAACTTTTCCGCAGCTTACATGTCTAATGGTTGGCCTTCAAAAGTTGAAACGTTCAAACTGCTAAATATTTCAAGTAGAAAGAATCTAGCAGGATATTTATTTGCATAGAATGTAGAAGACTCCTGATACGCTCACCTTACGTGGCACCTCTAAACTATCAGGTGATACTTCACTGCCACTTCCAGACTACTTGTGGCCAAGGGCAGAACCCGAGAGCACAGAGTGGCTGCCTCTGCCCGAGTAGCCAGTCAGTGCCGCCTCTGCCTCACTATGACCCCAAACCCCAACACTACGGCCATGGCCAACAGTTGAAGGATCAGTGATGGATCACCCAGTGTTTCACGTAAAGACGGCAATTCTGATGCTACATTTTACTTTTCTGAAAAGCAAAGGGAGGGGAGGGGGGCAATGTTTTGGATTAGGCCTACTAGACCAGCCTGCCCAATACCAATATGTAACTGGTAGATATTGGAGAGTTTACCCACCTGACACCATTTTCTTTCTAGGGACCCTAGTGGTGAGATTTTGGATACCGAGTTCCAAGGTCGGCACAATTTCTGGGCCTATTAAGAGGAGCTCCCACTGTCGCTGGTGATTTTTTTTGCTTTTATTAAAATTATGGAGAATAACAGCAGCTGGGTACACAAAGGTTGTGGGAAACACCCAGAACTTTCAGGGGGACAAGACCAAAAG